TTTGTCCTGAAAAGCAACTGATAACTATATTTTAATCACTCGAGCAATTTCTCCTGACATAAACACATAAACAACAAGATCCTTATAGCGTTATTTCCCGCCGTTATAAAGCGTTGAATTCATTTGACTGCTGTACAAACTTAATCAAATTTTTAAAAAGTAGTGTGGATGAGTCATGTCCAGATATAATGTCCAGGTTTGATCTTTTTATTCTGACCAGCAGTTAAGAGTTTAAATCAGAGAGAACATGAAAGCAGGTTTTATCGAAGTACAGCAGAGAGCAAATACAGAACACAGTGCCTCATACACAAACAACATGTGTGTCCATCACTTCAGAGATGCACGTTTACATTGGCATATTAATTTCATGGAAAACTCCCATGATCATAACCAGTACTTATTTAAAACTTAATCCTAAACCTCACAAGTTCATCCTCGTGGGGACTTCATGTCAAGAAAATATAAGTACACATGGAGCCATACTGGCAGTGTGGCAGGTCGGTGAACTGTAGCTGTGATGGATAATTGATGAGAGAAGGCAGGAGGTGATAATAGCAGCAGAGTATTTCCATGAAACTGAAGACGAGAGAAGCCCTGGGACGATGCAGTCTGTCTAAATGACTATGACATCCTAATCTCAGACAACAAACAGTTGATAATTATGGACAAAGATACTTCATGTCTGTGCCTCTTTTGTGGATGGTCTTGATGTTTTAGACAGCAGTGATCTTCCAACTTTGTGTCACCATTTTGGATTTTGATTGACATGGATAACAAGAACATATAATAAAAATTTGACTTTATAAATGGAACACAACAACCCCTCATGCTCAAAGCTCTATAAAGATAGAGCGAACCGTTCGGTGCAGTAACTGGAACTGACCCACACAATTCACCCAACCCCACTCCAGCAGCTTTGGTTGCTGATTTTTAACTGCATACCAGAACAATATACAAATTTCTTGTCCGACAGGTTATTGTCTCCCCAGAAACTCTCCCCTTGTGCTTTTGGAACTCTGTTTTTTCCCATTTGTGTTTTCGTTTTTGCTATTTCTGTTGTGTTTTGTGTGCTTTTGCAATGTTTTTCTTATTGCTGGTGTTTTCTTAAGTTGCAGTCCATTTGGCCTCTCAGGGCCACCGTAGCTCTCTTTATCCAACACCATATTATAACAGCGCACCGTTCACAAACTGTTTGCTGCTCCTGAACATCAACACCTGGCATTAATTACTTGTGCCTACCTTAAATAGATTCACCGTACCAGGAAACAACACACACACA